AAAGAGTCCTTTTTTCTCCTAAAATTTGGACTGCTGTCTGCACAAACTCTGGTCTGTTTTGCACGGTTTGTGTGCCTTTTTTCCCTTTATGCAATCTTTTTCAGCTTTAGCAGCAGAGATTTGTCTAGTTGAGGAAACAAGCCAGAGGGTGGCTTCAGAAGGAAGATGATCCCCATGTATTCTATCTCTGCATCTGAGCTTTTGAAGAGAAGATTCCATCCCGAGGGATTCTTAAAGCCTTAAGTTACTTGAAATCTATGTATTTGCAGCCCTTTGTCTCTGGAATCACATTACACTAAACTGGAATCTCAGGCTGAATAAGAAGAACCAAGTTGAGTGAAAAGAAGAACACTCAGTGTCTTTATCACCACTTGTTAACAATGCTCTTTCTCCAAAGGGTCAGCCCCCTCTTCCCCTGAGGACCTGAAAATAAAAATGGACCCCACGTTGTTTTTAAGCATTACCTTTTCTTAGCAGACTGCCGTCATCTTTTATAGAGGAATTTTTTCACTATGCATTTGGTGGATCTTTGTAAAATACTGACCTTCTAATTAGAACCGGGTCAGTCTTAAAAGGGGGTCAGGGAAAACAGTGCAAGCCAACCACAAAACTAACATCGATCTGTCAGTGAAAGCAATTTTTCAGCATCCAGCGTTACTTTTTAAGTAAAACGGTTCTTCAAAAAAAAGTATGTATGCAGCGGTGGAGCATGGGCCTGTCCTGTGCAGTGACTCCAACATCCTCTGCCTGTCCTGGAAGGGCCGCGTCCCCAAGAGTGAGAAGGAGAAGCCCGTGTGCAGAAGGCGCTACTACGAGGAGGGCTGGCTGGCCACGGGTAACGGGCGCGGCGTTGTTGGCGTGACCTTCACCTCCAGCCACTGCCGCCGGGACAGGAACACTCCGCAGAGAATCAACTTCAACCTTCGGGGCCACAATAGCGAGGTGAGCGGGCTTCTGTTTCACTTTTGATCTGGTCACTAGCAGTGGATTTGAGCCCATCCTGCATGGATTCCAGTTTCTCAGACTTGCTGCTGAGGGAGACTTTTCAAACGTCAATCCTGTCTTGTGTGTGTGTCCCAGTCGGAGACACAGTTCCCGGCGGGCTGTGTCACCTCTCCAGCGTCCCTGGTCCTCCTCTCCCTGCGGTGGGTGGGCTGCCCCCTGGCAGGGACACCAGGGCGGCTTTCTGACCAGGTGTGAGGTTGGATGAGACGATCCTAACCTGCCTGTCACGCTCTGAGCCTTTATGGTCGCCTGTATCCATGGCAAAGAGTCACTGCCCCAGTGTCAGACGGGGAGTGCAGGCCATGGAAGTGGTGCTGTCTTGGCCGTGCACAGTTCACATCTGCATGCTTTGTGATGGTGTAACACCAGCTTGTATTCTTGTACTGGGAGGTAAACAAAGGAATTAATTGCACAGAGGTGAAAGGAATAATTGGACAAGAGTCATGGTTTTTCACATCTGTGGGGTATATTCTGTTGACATTATGCTATGTATACATGCGTATAGATTCCTCTGGGCTTCTGAAACATAACCGTGGTCATTATCTTTGAAATTCCTTCAACCAGCATTTAGTGAGCAGTGTGTTTACAAGAAGAGTTGTACTTGCGTAGCGTGTTAACCATATTCATGCTTCACTGTTCACTAGTTTCTTATGAGGAATCCACCTTAAATTGTCACTAGATGGTTTTTGGTTAGTCGTTGTCAAGGGGAAGAATATTTTGGGAGGGTAGCGTACAGTAAAGTGCATTTATTGTTTCTAGCTTTTTTGATAATGGCCATTCTGACTGGTGTGAGGTGATACCTCATTGTAGTTTTGATTTGCATTTCTCTAATAATTAGTGATGTTGAGCATCTTTTCATGTGCCTCTTGGCCATCGGTATGTCTTCCTTGGTGAAATGTCTGTTTAGGTCTTCTGCCCATTTTTTAGCTGGATTGTTTGTTTTTTTCATATTGAGCTGCATGAGCCGTTTGTATATTTTGGAGATTAATCCTTTGTCTGTTGTTTCATTTGCAAATCTTTTCTCCCATTCTGAGGGTTGTCTTTTTGTCTTGTTTATGGTCTCCTTTGCTGTGCAAAAGCTTTTAAGTTTAATTAAGTCCCATTTGTTTATTTTTGTTTTTATTTCCATTACTGTAGGAGATGGGTCAAAAAAGATCTTGCTGTGGTTTATGTCAAAGAGTGTTTTTCCTATGTTTTCCTCTAAGAGTTTTATAGTTTCTGGTCTTACATTTAAGTCTTTAATCCATTTGGAGTTTATTTTTGTGTATGGTGTTAGGGAGTGTTCTAATTTCATTCTTTTACATGTAGCTGTCCAGTTTTCCCAGCACCACTTATTGAAGAGGCTGTCCTTTCTGCATTGTCCCTTGTCGTAAATTAGGTGCCCATATGTGCATGGGTTTATCTCTGGGCATTCTATCCTGTGCCATTGATCTATATTTCTCTTTTTGTGCCAGTACCATACTGTCTTGATTGCTGTAGCTTTGTGGTACAGTTTGAAGTTGGGGAGGCTGATTCCTCCAACTCCGTTTTTCTTTCTCAAGATTGCTTTGGCTGTTTGGCTGTTTGGCTGTTTCCATCCGAATTGTAAAATTTTTTGTTCTAATTCTGTGAAGAATGCCATTGGTAGTTTAATAGGGATTGCATTCAATCTGTAGATTGCTTTGGGTAGTATAGTCATTTTCACAATATTGATTCTTCCAATCCAAGGACATGGTACGTTTCTCCATCTGTACATTTCTCCATCTGTTTATGTCATCTTTGATTTGTTTCATCAGTGTTTTATAGTTTTCTGAGTACAAGTCTTTCACCCCCTTAGGCAGGTTCGTTCCTAGGTATTTTATTCTTTTTGTTGCGATGGTAAATGGGAGTGTTTCCTTAATTTCTCTTTCTGATTTTTTGTTGTTGGTGTATAAGAATGCCAGAGATTTCTGTGCATTAATTTTGTATCCTGCAACCTTACCAAATTCACTGATTAGTTCTAGTAGTTTTCTGGTGGCATCTTTAGGATTTTCTATGTATAGTATCATGTCATCGGCAAATAGTGACAGTTTTACTTCTTCCTTTCCAGTTTGTATTCCTTTTGTTTCTTTTTCTTCTCTGATTGCCGTGGCTAGGACTTCCAAAACTATGTTGAATAATAGTGGCGAGAGTGGACATCCTTGTCTTGTTCCTGATCTTAGTGGAAATGCTTTTAGTTTTTCACCGTTGGGAATGATGTTGCTGTGGGTTTGTCGTATATGGCCTTTATTATGTTGAGGTAGGTTCCCTCTGTGCCCATTTTCTGGAGAGTTTTTACCATAAATGGGTGTTGAATTTTGTCAGAAGCTTTTTCTGCATCTATTGAGATGATCATAGGGTTTTTATTCCTCAGTTTGTTAGTGTGGTGTATCACATTGATTGATTTGCGAATATTGAAGAATCCTTGCATCCCTGGGATAAGAGATATTTTTCTAATGCTGTGCAACAAATCACCATGGACTTGGTGGCTCACAACTCCCACTTCTTATCTCACAGTTCTGTAGGTCTGAAGTCCAGGCTGGTTCCTCTGCGTGGGGTCTCATGGTGGCATCAGGGACTGTGAGCTCCTCTGAAGCTGGGTTACCCCTCAGATGTGTTCAGGTTGTTGGCAGAAATCAGTTCCTTGCGGTTGGTTGTAGGACTGAGGCCCTCAGCTCCTAAGGCCGCCCACCACTCCCGCCACATGGCCCTCTCCACAACATGGCCGTTTGCATCTTAAAGGCCAGCAGGAGAGCATCTGCTGTAGATTGGAGTCTGACTTTCCATCCCTGAAAAAGGATACCTCTGATTAGGTCAGACCCGCCCACACTCCAGGAGGGAATCAGGGTGTGCACACCAGGGGCTGCTGTTTTAGAATTGTGCCTACCACAAAAGAGGTGATTATAATTCCTAGTGACATGGATATTTCACTACTGAAACTATTTCATGTGATTTTTCCATTTTGTATTTTTACTTTTAATTTCTGTTCTTTCTTTTTTTTTAATTGATGTATAGTTGATTTACAATATTTTGTTAGTTCCTGATGTACAGCACAGTGATTCAGTTATATATACATACATACTTCTTCATATTTTTTTCCATTATGGTTTATTACACGATACTGTAATCGTTTCCTGTGCTAATTTCTATTCTTAACATTAGAATAGTTGCTATTTATTGAGTGCCTGCCAAGTAGGGTGACCAGCCATCTTGGTTTCCCAGCATGTGTGACTGTCAGTGCTGAAACTGGAAAAGTCACAGGCAAACTGGGATGTTTATTCATCCTACTGCTAAGGGCCAGACATAGTACCAGGTGCCTTGCAACCTAATTACCTCATGTGGTTTTCACAGTAGACTTAGGGATAGATATCACTTTCCTATTTTACAGGTCAGAAAGCTAAGGTTTATGGATGCTAACTGGTTTGCCTAGGTTCATACAGCTTGTATGGAGGGGAGCTGGAATTGGATCCCAGAGCTCTGCCATTCTCCTTCAGTGTACCTTTATTTTCTTAAAACTTGTATTAGGTATAAGTTCTCAGTCCCTTATCCACAGTTGTGAAATCTAAGGGCTCTGAAAATGGAAAGTTTTTGCATGACTCATGTAATGGCAAGACATGAACTGATGTGAGGCTATTTTTTGTCATCATCCTGTCATGTCAGCTGCAGAAATATTTATGTTTTTTATTATGGGTGCTGCCCAGACCCTGCTGGGGGTGTTATATATTGATGGTGTCTCCTGTTTTCAGACCTAAAATTTCAAAAACTCTGAATTTCAAAACTTACCTAGCTGCAAGGACTTTGAGTACATGATTATGAGCCTGTATCTTCCTTTGAGGGAATCGTGAAAAGCAACCTCTGAAGAGTTTTATGTTTTTTCATTTTCAGGAAGGCTGACGTTTGTCATCTCTGTCCATTGCTTAGTTACCTTATCTTCACTGCCCTTCCACTCGAGGAGCCAAGTCCCCCTGCCCCCACCGTGACATACCCTAAAAACTGTAGTCAAGAACTGTCGCAGGATTTTACTGCCTTCTGGCCATGGGATGACCAAACTGCGCACGTCAGGTCTCGTGATCTGCCGTTTCACAGCTGAAAAACTTGGGAATGTTTTTCTTCTAGAAAACAATTCATTATGGTTATTATTGATGACATGCAAGTTAGTCACTGATTCTTCATTTAATGAGATTTTCTTCACTTAAGTGCGGACAGGCATTCATGTGTGTTTGGTGGGATTTGTTTCATTACAGGGACACATCCACTGTAGGAATGATGTCTCCTGGATTCTTGGATCTGGTTACTTCTTCTCTGAGAAGCTTTTTCTGACCCTCTGCCCACCCCCACTCCCCATCGCAGGCTGTACACTGTGCGCCGAACAGACTTCTGTGCTTGCCCTGGCAATGCCTTATTACAGTTAGCTGCTTGTGTAGATTGGTAAACTTAGTGAAGATTGTCTGTTCTCGTGTCTTAGTTTCCTCACCTCCTACTATTTAAAATGTCATTCGTTTATTTTAATTTCCTTTAACTTGTTAGCCCACTTCAGTGGGGTTTCTTTTCCCACCACTCCGCTGAGATGGTCACATTCCCAATGACCCCACGTTGTTAAACCCGTAGGCCACTTTATTGCACTTGCTGTCTTGGAAGCATTCAGTGGAGTTGAAACGTTATTTTCTCTTGCTTTCCAGGACACCAGGCTCTCCTGATTTTCCTCTTACCTATCTGGCCTCTACTTTCCACCCTTTTTGCTGGCTCTGCCTATTTTCACCTCATTGTTAATAAGTGTTGGAGGGCCCCAGGCATGCATCTGTTTCTAGATAATCTCTCCAAGTTGGTGCTAAATCTACCTATATGCTGATGATTTCCGAACTTATATCTTCCACCTGCCATCACCTTCTAGTTCCAGATTCTGTTCTTCGGTTTGTTATATGAGATACAGAATTGGACAT